ATTATGACATTTTAATTTCAAAAATTAAAAATCAATTGAAGCAAGCTGTAATAAAAACAAGTCACTGAAAATAAAGTAACAATAAAAATCTAATAATTTTAAATGGAAAACAGAAAAAATGAACATTCAAAATGTAAATTTACTGTGTCCAATATGCTGAACAGGCATAGCCTGCAAAATGGAGAATTATAACCCATCAACAAGAGCAAAATGTGGTACTGATAAAAGACACATTAATGACATAGACAGCGAGACAGACATACATGAGTATCAAAGAGCTTGCACATTCATGTTCAGGGGGTATGAAGATGAGTGGATTGAGTTTGATTTTTTTTTTTTTTGGTTTTTACCAGACAGGGTTTCTCTGTATTGTTTTGGAGGCTATCGGTCCAGCCCAGCCTCGAACTCACAGAGATCCTCCTACCTCTGCCTCCCGAGTGCTGGGATTAAAGGCGTGCGCCACCACCGCCCGGCTGAGTTTGATTTTTTTTAACATATTCAAATTATATATAAAACAGAACAGTTACCAAGCAAGAACTATAGTTACAATATTTTGTCCATTAACATTTAGCAAGATTTAAAGAAAGTATTTTATTATCTATCCTATCCATGTGAGTCTAAAGTCTTATATGTAGCTTATCTTTTATCTTAACTAAGGAAAACTATAATTATAACTATCTGTCTTCAACTCCATCAAAGACCACAGAAAGATGATATATAAACAGAGACATCTCACTACTTAGAAGTTCCTCTGTAACATTGGGCATCCATCTTCAGCCCATAGGCCACAGTGTTCCTGGCAAACTTCTCAGCAAAGCAGGACATTTTAAACTCTCCTGAAAACAGAAGATCCAATGAAGAACAAGTGAAATAGTCTTTAGCAGTTGAGAGTGTGAGGTTTAAGACAAAACAAGTACTGTAGGAGTTCATATGTAAATTTAAATGAATAATGGAAAGTATGGAAACTTGGACCAGAAAATGTTGGGGAAAAACTATTCATAGGCAGAGCCCAGTGGCTTCTTGGACACTTTCTTGTAGAGAAACCCATATACATTTATGAATGAATGTTTATGCTCTCTTGGTCTTTGCATAACTGGCCATCATAAAAGCTAGTTGTTTAAAACAAATAACCACATTCTTTTTAAAACATTAGATGGGCAGCCAAACACATTTTAATTCTTTACATGTCCTATCTCTTCTTTGGTCATTTGGCTATCATCTACTAAATTATGCTGAGATTAAATAGTATAATACTTTTCAAAGCCTTCTTTTTCCCTCAGTAACTTATTAGACTCCTATTTTATAAAAGCATATCTCCTATGGCATTGCACATAGAATTTTATCAATGATTTATTTTTCACGTGTGTGTGTGTGTGTGTGTGTGTGTGCTACATGTGTGCAGGTACCTATGGAGAAAGCATCAGATTCACTTGTGAGTTGCTTGACATAAGTGCTGGGAACTGAATTCTGCTCCCTGGAAGACTGCAAGCCCCCTTTACCACTAGGCCACATATCTAGCCCACAGATAGTATGTTAAAGAAAATACAAGCTACATAACGAACTGAGTATCTCTTCATCTACACTGTAATGGAAAATATATGCCTGGTATTCTAGATTGCCTAGTATACATGGTTGCTTCTGATCACAAAAACTTAATGACTGCAAGTTTTGTCCTTTTACTTCAGAATTCCAGATACTGGAGTTTGTTGTGTTTAATATAAATATTTCAAGAAAGGAAAGGGCTAGATAATGAGTGCTACAGAGCAATTCAAATGACTCAGCCTAAGGGAAGTTTATATTACTTCTAATATCCACTTTGCTAGAAACTAATCTATATGCAACCTAAATGAGTTACAGTGTGGATGCTTACATAATTATTTACTGATTTCCAATAGTTTGTAGTACAGGATATCAGAGCTTGAAAGAATTCAGATTCAGTCAATAATCATATATCTAAAATTTTATAATATCCAAACAATCCCCATTTACATAGCGATAAACAAGATTTCATTGTAGAAGGTAAGGTCCTCTCATTTCTCTGGGAAAACTGAATTGATATATCATCTTGAAGACATTATTATTTGTACTTTTATGCTGAATGACAGGGGTAGATTCTGGGTTAAACCAGCCATATGAATCATGCTACAGAAAGTGCTAACTTTTTAACTTGAATATTTTGTCTTGTTGCTGTTGGATGATTTGAGTTTGTTATGTGGGAGTGGTGGGGAAGGAAGTCTTTTATGTACTTGGATCAAATATGTTTATAAAGATCTAAGCAATCTACCAAAACAAATCCTGTATTGAGGAAAGGAACCTACTTTAAAAATGCATGATTTCACCTCTGCTTACAAGGATGAACTTTGTCAAGGATTAAATCTGAAAAATTGTAGAGTCTGTGTTGTGATTCAGTTTAAGACTTGGCTTCTCCAAGTTCTTAGTTATGTATTCAGTGCTGAATTAAACCATGTCATGTCAAACTTCCTAAGATCCTTAAAGGGTTATAAAACGTTGTACGTGTCCCTCACTTTCTGGGAATGATCTTCAGACTCCTCAGGAGCGAGTTGCCTCTGGTAGAGTGTTCTGAAGGCTGCTGTCTGAGGAGATTTCAAGGGCCTTCCCTGCTGTCCTTTGCATGGTTATCTTTCTCTGATCATCTTCTTATACTCTTAATAAACTTCTCCCCCAGGCTTTAAATGGAAGTCTCTCCATTCTTTATTCTTGGGATTATGTAGGTTCTGTTTACTGTGCTCCCTTCTACCCCAGAGCCCGATCATGGCCTTGAGGTCCTCTCACTCTAAAAAGCCTCATGGAAGGGAAGTATGTGGCAGCTTCCTTTCTTGACAAATCAATGCTGCTCTCATTTTATTTAACATAAATATTCAAACCTAAGGTTAAGTAGATCTAACTTGCCACTTACTTTCACAAGCAGCAGAGGAACTTTTCTATTTTGAATATTAGTTTTTATTGTCATTATAATACAATTTTTCACATGTGTAACAGTATATATTTAACAATTACCAGGTACTTAGATTGAAGAAGTCATCTGCATAAAAATGGCTTCAGTAAACCCCCCTGGGTATCTCTGGAGAGAAATAAATAAGTAAACATTATGGATACTCCTTTGTAAATCTGGGAGAAGGAGAAACAAATGAACAAACAAACAAACAAAAAACAAAATTACAAATGCACTTTGGACCAGGATCGGCTTTTAACCTTGGTCCTGTTGAAGGAGTTCCAACTCTCCGACTACCACTCAGGTCTTCATTTTTGCAACGCATTCTCAACTATAATCTCAAGGGCAAGGTAAGCTTAACATTTTTCATTTAATTCCTATTTGAGAAAAATCATTTTTTTCATGTTTTAAAATATTTCTTGGAATTTATTTAAGTGGATTTCCAGTAAAAAGGGAAACAGTAAACTCATAAAATAAAATGGTGCATCAGAGGAAATTAGGCTTTGGTGTACAGAAGAAATAATCTTGCAATATAGTTTCAAGACAGTGCCAAGTTGATATTATTTAGTAAATTCTTAGAAAAATATATAACTTACACTTGTTTGTCTAGCATCTATATGCATATATTATAATTCCACAGTCTAAAATTTGAAAGAGGAGAGTAAATTTGACTTTGGTAATTTTTAATTTTATTCTATCCAGAGATTCCTGGGCATTAGGAAAGAAATTTAGAGACATTGTAAAATTCTAGGGAACTGTTATTTTACTCTATAAGATGAGACTTTGTCACCTGGGGGATATATAGAAACACAGGGTCTTCAGATTGCCCAAGGTTTCCTGATTAAACTGAACAATTAAGAATCCTGCTGTTAGCCACTTTCCCTCTTTTCTGGATATCAGAAAGTCTTCTCATTTAACTGCCACGTCCCACTCTTCACCAATTACAGAAGAAAACAAACAGTACCACAATCCTCCATACTGGGTGGCAGGCGATTTGTCTTCTTTTTCATGGATTCAAGAAAGACTGAAGAGAGAAGTTACTGTGAAGAGTGTGTTTTCAATTCATTTCAGTTTAACATCACCGGATTCCCTTGCCCGTGCCTAACGTAGAAGGTAGGCATTTACACTTTGATGAATTAGCCTTATCGCTTAGAGCTTTATGACCGCTGTTCTCTCGAGATATCATTTCCACTTCCTGTTAATTCAATTTGATTCGAATCCTAAGGTTTAATGCACACCCATCACAACTCTCCTATTCAGCCTGCTCCTGGTTGCCATGCACTGTAGTGCTATAGTGTGCCTCTATTACAGTGTTTAATAACTTCCCTTGTTTCCATCTCTGGCCTCATTACTTTGCAGTCCTTTACATGAAACTGCAAAGCCGAGGCTTTATGCCTACCTCCTTCCAAATTGCCTGTCCTCCCAATATATTGTCACTTTCTCTGTCGTAGGCACCTCTCACCTCGACTTTGCTCTCCCAGTTATTCTTGGCACTTTGGGAAGCAGTGTTCCTTCTTCCGGGCCATTAACATATAAAGTGGGAAAAAATTAGCCTTAATATTGACCCTTGTGGTTCTCTATTTCTCAGTCTTCTAACTCCCAAATTGTTTCCACACTCAAATGCCCTTTTTATATTAGATAATGCAATTCTCTCTATGCCTAAGTATGGTATAAGAGTTGGATGAACTGTGTGTTATTTTTAACTATAAAAGCATGATTTAGCAAGTTTTTTATATATAATTTAATGAAGTGCAACCTTTAAAATATTTTTCTTGACTACAAATACTAGGGAAACATAATACCTAGCCAGTGCAGCTACAGAAATGATAGGGGGACTGTGAAAAGCCATTATTACACATGATTCCGCCACAATATCAGAGAACTTTATATATGGTAAAGGAGGGTAGCCTAAAGTGGCCAAAGCTGATTCCTAGTGAGGGAGTCTGATGACTGGCTTCCCATTTTCCAACAACAACAACAAAACCAACACAGCACCACTACTACCACCACCAGCAACACAAAACAAAAACACCTTATGTTTTATGAGTTTATTTTTAAAATAAACTTTATTATAAACTTGCAAATGAATAAAAACAATCCTGTTTAAATTACTTCCAAACAAGAATAAATATGGAACTAGCCTGTTCACAAATACTTGTTTGGTATATTGGGTTTGACAATAATTGTGGCAAAAATAAACAATGCCAAATAAATATAATAGGCATGATTGTGCCACCAGCATCAGGACAGTGGACACTGAAGAGAACCTGTGAGAAGGCAAGAGAAAGAATACATAATCAGACAGCAGTTATTAAAGCTGGAAGGGAAAATCTGGTTTAATATTTGATTCCGTAATTTCTGGACAGTTGCTTATTCTACCACTGAGCACTTAATATGAAAATGAAATATTAATATCATACCTCATTTTATTTGCTTGTATACTTATTTTTATACTTATTTAAATTATAAAGATATTATATAACCTTCTTAATAACAAACAGTGCCTTTTTATATAAGTAATGTAAAATTGTGACTTCTCTTAATAGAGTGAGATATATTGGAGAATACATGAAGTCTGTGTGATTAGGAGTCTTTTTATGCAGACTTAGATTCAAATGATATTAGAAGCATTGAAGAGAAAAGATGGGGAAAAAGACAAATTTTGATCCTCAGATTTTATTTGTTATCATTAACCTATATATTTATATAGCTTAGTTCCCTGGATGTCTGGATGTTGTGACTCAGGAACAAGAGAGCAGACATTATATTTAAACAGCGATATGTAATCTTTTCAATGAAAAATATTTTAAGTAAGAACACCTTTCTTGTATAAAAGCAGACAATCATTCTGCAAATATTTATGAAGAAAACAAAGTAAGCAATCACACATGCAATTGCTCATTGGAATTAGCAGAGACTTATAAGTGGTTCTTTCCTTATCTGCTTCTTCCTCATTTACAAGGACTCACTTTGGAAGCCAGATGACTGTGAACTTGAAATTTTCCTGCCTCTGCCTCTTAATTAAGTACCAGTTTTACAGATGTGTACCACAGTTACCAGTTTGAATTTACCCCAGCTACTAGAAATTCTCTAGACATTGTAGTACTGGCTGTCATAATAAACCCCAATATTTTGAATGAGTAACATGTAGCAATAAAATAAAATTTCATGTAAAATATAATAGACAATTATAAAAGAATTACACATAGATTTGAAATCGTTCAATGAAAAAAAAAACAACTTTGCGGTGCTTGTCCTATAGAAATCACCAAATACAAAAGGTGTTTGTTTTGTATTTAGTATAAATATGATTTTAGTTATTTTAAGCATGCTTAGAACAGGAAAGAATACTTGTAGCACATATCAATGCTTTTGTACAGGTAAATATTGAAAATCAGTCACCAAAAGTGAATGAACGAGTACTACAAAGAGAATTGGCACAGTCTTACAAATTGTCTTGCTCTAATTCATAATTCATCCCCACACAATGTAGGAGAGCCATATTGTCACAGTTCCATGAATGTTCCCACATGCAAAGAAGAGAGAACATCATCCATGTCACAGACCCCGGGATCACCCTGGTTTTACCACCATTTCTACCTTTTCCCATATAGTATAGACATAAATTATTTAACAGCTTGTGTCTCCTGAGCCACACATCTAAAATAAGGATAATATTACAAATTAACAAGAGGTTTGTTGTGGGGGCTCAATGAGTAGATTCATGTAAAACATTTGAAGCAATGCACAGATTGTAATAAACATCCAAAATATTACTTTTATTTCTCTTAAATTTCTTTAGCAATATTTTTGTTGCTGTTTATCTTTCTTAATTGCTTAAAAATTTCATTGAGTGTCAACTCCTGGTAGGTCTGTTTGTTTCAAACTCAGCACAAGAAAGAACTAAAAAATGGCTCAGTTCTTATTACTAAAACATTTTTTAACAGTAAAAGGATTACCAGTCTACAATTCACACTTCCAGAGAAACTTGGAAACAAGGAGGACACTAAGAGAGACTTACATGGTCCCCTGAGAAGGGGAAAGGAACGATCTTCTGAGCTAATTGGGAACTTGGGGGGAGGGGAAAGGGGGTTAGGAGAAAGAGGAGAGAAGAGGAGGTAAGAGGAGGATATGAGGGAGCAGGAAGATTGAGTGAGGGGAAGAATAGAGGAGAGCAAGAAAAGAGATACCATAATAGAGGGAGGTTTAAAGAGAAATCCAGCACTAGGAAATGTCCAGAGATCTACAAGGATGACTCCAACTAACAATCTAAGCAATAGTGGAGAAGCAACCTTAAATGACCTTCACCGATAATGCCCTTCACCTTATATGCCATCCTAGAACCTCCATACAGCAGCTGATCCAAAGCAGGAGCAGACACCCACAGCTAAACACTGAGCTGAACTCCTGGAATCCAGTTGCAGAGAGGGAGGAGTGATGAACAAAGGGGTCAAGACCACGCTGAAGACATCCGCAGAAACAGTTGACCTGAACAAAGGGGAGTTCATGAAGCCCAGACTAATAGCTGGGAAACCTGCATAGGACCAACCCAGACCCCCGATCCTGGGTGTCAGTTAGGAGCCTTGGGCAATCTATGGGGCCGCTGTTAGTGAATCTGTATGTATCCCTAGCACACGAATGGACTTTAGGAGCTCAATCCACATAGAGGGATACTCTCTCAGCCTAGACACACTGGGGAGGTTCTAGGCCCTGCCTCAAATGATATGACAGACTTTGAAGATCCTCCAATGAAGGCCTCCTCCACCTGGGGAGCATAAAGGGGATTGGATAGGGGTCAGTGGGGAGCAGGGGAGGAGGGTAGGGGGAGAGGACTGGGATTGACATGTAAAACAAGCTTGTTTTTAGTTTAAATTTAAAAAAAGAAAAAAATGAGTTGGAAAAACAGCTTGGTGGAAATGATTTAACATCACTGTAAACACCCTTTAATGTTTTTGCCAGAAGTGGCATTTTGCAAATGGCCACATTCCCAATTCCAAGCAAAACTGATACTCAATGAATAGAATAAGGGATTTAACATTTCTTTTTGAGGCTGGGTTACGTTTTCAGAAAACTGCTTAAAGTGATTGTAGGCACAGTTATGATATCAAGTGATGGGATGTCAGGTAAAGATACACAAAGAGGAAGGGAGCAGTTTTACAATTTCTGATACTTCACAAAAGTCAACACTAGCATCACTTATCAATAACTACTTTAATGTCTCCAGCCAAGTTAATTATGAAATATTTGACTACATGACAGCAACATCCCTGTTGTGAAACTGCATGGGATTGGGATGTATTAATTTTCTTGCTCTTGGAAAGGACAGGGTAAGTCAGTAGAGCAATCACAAAATATTACTATAGCATTGGAAGAGACAGGTGACAAGAAATTGTGTAAAATTCCAGAAGATTCTACAAGTGAATACCATAAATATTCTACCAACTTAAAAGCATATGCCCATTTGCATTGAAATTTCCTGATCCTTATGTTTTTGCCTGCCTTTCTGTGCATGTGGATGCACACACTCTGTGGGGCTTGCACATGCAACAATAAAACCTGTAATCTTATAGCCCTGTCATTTTGCCTATGGGTTGCTTAAATGTATTCACTTTTTAACCTTGTTTATTACTTCCAAATGATTTTGAAGAGCATTTCCTCCCATCTCCAAACCCACAGTCCATTTAAATCACATTCACTGCAGCATTTCACACACAATGGAATAGTCAGTCAACGACTCAGCCCAGAATGCAATGCCTCACAGTAAATTGGGAACAAATTACCCATGTAGTTCATGCACATTGTATGGGTATTGAACGAGGAAGCAAAGTTATGGTAGGAAAAAAATGAAGACGAAAAAGGAGCGCATCTGTGTATGTCTTAATGCTAAGTGCATTTGATAGCACAGTGTGGAGGCTGATTCTATCGCCTGGAAGAAAATGCATACATTATAAGAGAATCTTCAGTGATAATTTTATACCTGACTTTTTACAGATGGTCCCCATCAGCTTCTAATATCACAAATTGTCTTTTCTAAAACAGGATATGTTTCCTTTATTTCATGGGTATAAGTGTTTTGTGCCTCTATGTATGTGTACCATGTACATGACTGGTGCTCACTAACATCAGAAGAAGGCATCAGATTCCCTGGGGCTGGAGTTACAGATGGGTGAGCTGTAACTCACCCGGTTACATGTTGGTTCTAGAGTGAACCTGGGTCTTGGGGAATAGCAATAGTCCTCTTAGCTGCTGAGCCATCTCTTCAGACCCACATGTTTGTATCTTGACACCAGAATGCCTGCCATTTAGAGCCACATCATCAAAACAAAGGGTACACTTTTATTTGTCCTACTAGATTGTCCAAATCATTAAAACACATGTTTTTATTTTATGTGAATGGGTGTTTTGTTCACATGTGTATCTGTGCACAATGTGTGTGTTGAAAGCAGAAGTTCCAGGCCATCTGAAATTAGACTTACAGACAGTTGTAAGCTGCCATGTGAATGCAGGGAACCAAACCTGTGTTCTCTGGAAGTGCAGCCCATGTTCCTAACTGCTGAGCTCTCTCTAGCCACTCTATGTGATTTTATAGGTCAATCAATATGCAATATAGAAACCTAAATGATACTTTCACATAACTTAACAGTTTTATTATCATATTCTTACTATTATTGAAGACTCATAAACTTTATCTTCCTATTATTATGGGAATATCACTAGAATTAAGCATATCGTTGAAGACATGTTTGTCTATTCCCTCATTAGATGATAACTTTAAATCATTATATTTCTAATTATTAAAATAATAAAAAGTCACTAAAATCTTCAAAACCAAAAAAATCTATGAAAATAAATATATAAGGTGAGCAGTCCTATAGTACTTTTGCAGTTAGAATACCACTTTACGTAAACATTTGTCTTGTAGATTATTATTTCTAACGTTAGGGGATCTGAGTCACTAATAAAATAATAATATTTTTATCATTGTCAGTGGTGGTGTTGAGCACTGTCACACCAGGCAGATTTCCTTATGTTAGGACCATTTTCTCTTCCTGCAGGAAAATAAGAGCCTAAGAACATAGTAAGAACATATTCTATTTCCTCAAAGCTTGAAAGTTATCAGTCAGGACGAGGACTGTAACCTGGTACTAAATTTTATGCCTTGATGACTGTAATGTGTGTGTGTTTATGTATGTGTATGTGTGTGTGTATGTGTGTGTGTGAGCACATGCGTGCTTTCTTGATAGTCTGAGGTCTTGGTTGGTGCATT